ACTTGTGTAACCCTAGCCGACAACGCTGCGTTTCATCTACGCATATTTGACTAACAAGTTGTAGGTGAAGATGATATAAAAAGCCTGTTAATATTTGAAGCCCAAACTGAATCCACAAATTATGTAACAAAACGCAGCGAATTTGTCTCTCCTTGCCACGTGGCGGCCGCAGAATCTCTGATTTGATGACATGGCACTTACAGGAGGGAGTAGAGCTTACTTTATATATATGGAACAGCGCCATGTGGTTATCATTTGTCACTCATGCCCAGAAATAAAACAAATAGCTGTACATATAAAAGAATACATAGAATTTATGAGGATGGGAACGAAGGACAACACCAGAATCAGTCGTATATCAAGAGATAATACATACATCATTCATCATTTGAGCTTGTCTCTTAAGATCTTCACTGAAAGGAGAGCCATAGGCCCCAAAAGCTTAACATATCTTAAGAATTTTATTTCTCGCTCGTTCCCCAAATAGAATAACAAATACTTGTCTTTCTGTCAGGAGTATTAGTTTAGATCAGAAGGAGAGCTCCAGTAAATGAAAACAGTATAAACAAAACAAAATAAAACAATTGAGGCATAACCAATGTCAAATATGACATATGCAGATGGGAACGTATAAAATACATATAAAATTTAGACTCTAACTTGCATGAGCCTATGGAAGAACAAAGTATATACATTAAGAAAGCAGCCAAACTCCTGCAATATATAAAGGCTGCACTTTTAATGTCTAAGAAGCTAAGAGTAGAAATTAAGAAGTTAACCTTCTCCCCAGAGTTGAGATCAACCAACGAACTCAGACTGTCGTATTAAGATGTTGCGACAGTGAGGAATCCAAGCTTTACTTGCTTTGTTGGATTAATAAACTTCTCCTGTTACAAAGGACAGCTTGTAAGGGTATTAGCGCCTAGCGGAGAACACAACTTGGAAAAGTAAAACAGTTGCAGATTTCGTACTTCCTTCAGCAAAAGAGCCTTGAGGGGCGTCTATGGACTGAAGGAGAAAGATCACCATCCTAGAAAACTCACAGCAGACACATGAATGCCTGAGATACATATACATATCCAACGCT